GGCTCTCAACACAAGATTTCCCCCTCTACGGCTGCCTACGAGATATCGAGTCTGGCTGGCACGACATGGAGGCACAATCGAATCAACGTGGTCAATTGGAAAGTCGAGTTTGATTGCCACAGGCAGCACGACCTCTGCCGACGTGCTACAAACAACACAAGGAACGACGAGGTCAGAGAGTACATAGCCGTCGCATCGTGCAGTCATGATCCGATTCTCTGACTGGCTCTGTGCACTGGCAGAACAGACACGTCCATACAGCGGCAACGTATGAATGAGACGACATTGCCCTGCATTTTCTTTCTTCGTCTGGTCTCGTACACCACCAGCGCTCCAGTACATGGGGACGCACGCGCTGGAGCACACATTGACACGGCACGGCTGCAGCAGCACATCACAGATCCCGAACCATCTCGTCACCGCGGGCCTCAGTCCCCTGCCGCCGCGGGCTCCCAGTCCTAGTCCCAGGTGTCCAGTCAGGATTCCAGACCACACCAGACCCGGACTCTGTCCAGTGTCCCAGGAGCACACGCCCCCCGGCACGGACAAGGGTAGCTGCCAGTGTTTCGTTCCGAGCGCTCCACCACGGCATCCCTCCCACATCCTTGTCGTTGCTGTCTCCTTCGTCCACTGCTTACTTGGTACACTGGGAAGACACCAGAGAGGGAAAAAAAAAAAAGGACGAAGAAGAATCCATCGGCCGGCCGAGGCGTGTGCGTAAGGTACGAATAAACTCGCTCGGTCTGCCGTTTGCCCACGCGATGCTGGGCCTCTAGTTCCAGTCCACTCGTCCACTCGTCCACCCCCCCCCCCGACAGGGAATGCCATCAAACCCACAATCCACCGCACCGCACCGCACACAAAAGCGCGACCACGACCGCCTACCATGCTTTATTCATTTGGTTCCCAGGTTTCGTCCTTCGTCCCCTCTACGTACACCTACACCTCTTCCCTCAAACCCCCCTTCCGTTCATTCTCACCAACTACTATTCTCTCGTTAAACAACCCCTTGAACATTCGCTTCACGCAGTGCCCATTGCCAACCTGGCTCGCCCAAAGCCCATTACACCGAAACGGGCCTTTTGTACTCTGGAATCTCTCAACCACTCGGTTCCATATCGAAGCCTCGCTGCCCAGTGCTCGCCATCCCGTTCGTCATCCCAAACGACAACCCCAGCCTTTACTCGCCCTGGAGAGAGAGTTTCTATACGGAGCTCTCCTACAGATCGAACCATCATCAGTGCTCATGTACACGGCTGGTCAACCGCGTCCCGATCTCACTTTGCCTAGTCATAAACGCCTCTCTGGAATCATCTCGTCGACTCACCACTTACACCCGCCGTCGTCTCGTAGTCACCCCGCCTGTCCGGGGCCCAGTCCTCATCGTAACAAGTAGTCGACGCAGCCTCTCCATCGTCGAGACATCTTTCGCCAGTCTTTGGTCTTGTCAACGGCCACAGTCACGAAGCGTTTGTACACCCGCCGTTGGAGAGCAAACAAACAAACCGATCCAACCGTCTCTGGCAGACCACTGGCCGAACCGGTCTCCGTGTAAGCGGCGGCGGAACCCCAGCTTCCCTTCGCATTCGATTCTCCCGGCTTTGAAAGCTCCAGTCTCACCATGGGCCTGCCTCGAGCTCTCCCCGTTGCGGCCGGCGCACTGGCTTTGATTGCCACCATCACGATTGTCATCATCCATGTCGTCCTCGCCGCTCACATCGCCGATGCTGCGCCTGTTCGCACGTCCTCCATTCTGTCCTCGGTTTTGGAAAGCATTCTTTTGGTATTTTTGGGGTGGATGTTGTCGGCGAACTTGGTCGCCAGGTTTAGGAGTTCTTCCAAGCGCTTCATCAGCGCCATGTTTGGTGCGAGTGTCCTCACTTGCATCATGGCCACTGCTGCGTCGGTAGCCACAATGATCTGCCTCAGCAACGCCACCCGGGACCTGGCGGGTACCGTTCTCGGTGCGACGCGGACGAGTTTCCTCATCGCTTCGTCCGTCGCCCTCGGTCTCTGCTTTGCTTGTCAGCTCATTTTCATCGTCATTCATTTCGTTTTGGCACGCCTCGTTGCCCGCGACGAGGCCGGTTCGATGCACATGGACGAGGAGTCCCAGAGATCTCCGCATGTCCACATCAAGTCGGTTCCCTACCACCGTACTTCGCCCACCTTTGACGGCAGGAGCCGTTCCACTTCCATGGGCTCGCAAAGCCCGCCTCAGTCCAGCAGCGGCCGTTCCGCAACCGACACATTGAGCTCTTTCCGCTCCTCGTTGTCCAACGTCGTCCGCCCCATCTCCTCCCGAACCCGCCTGCTTCCCCTGAGGGAGAAGCGGCGGGCCGAGTCGATTGACTCGAACCACTACCGCTCGCGTTCGAGCAGCGTCAACGAGGACTCGTCCTTTGACTCTTGGGACACGTCTTCGGTCGATATGCAGAGCCGCATGACCGTCCTCGGCACATCTTCTCCCCCCGGCAGGTTCTTGGAAACGATTCCTGCCAGCCCTACCACCAGCCGCAGTCCCAGCCCCGGAACGCCGCTGGACCTGGATCTGGAGGTCCCGCGCACTCGCCGTCGGAGCCGCAGCTACAGCCCCAGTCCCATGGGCAGCCTCCGCAACCCCGAGCCTACTTTTACGCTGCAGACTTCTGCTAGCGACTGCTCTCTGCGGCGTCCCGAGCCCGCCTTCACCATGGAGGGCTCAGCCAGCGAATCGCACATTCACCCCCTATTCCGGTCTGACTCCCCAGACCCGCCGCCTATGGTGACGCCCGGCACGGTCGTCACCGCGGCGCCAGACGCTGGCCGCGTCATTTCAGACCGACACAGCGTCCGTCGCATGCGGAGCGGCAGTCTGCCCGGCGGACCCAGTCCCCTCAGCCGCACTAGCAGTCATGACAACTTCTTTCCCAACGGCCAACCGCCGGTCAAAGAGGAGAAGGAGGAGCTCCCATCACCCCAAGAGGAGGACGAAACACTTGGTGAGAGACAGATGACGCCCCCGATCCCGGAGTGGATCCTAACCGCCGGAGCCAGGACGAGCCTGAACGGATATCAAAGTCGGAAGCTTCGTATCGACGGGGACCCCGAGCAAGGGCAATCGTGATGACGGAGGGCGGACACACCAATGGCAACAAGAGGTGTATCCAAGCCAAGCAAGCGGAAAACTTGACCCGGCGTGGTCTTCATGAATGTCTAATTGCTATTCTGTCCTCGACAACAACAACAAGAGAGTACGAACTCGGGCGGTGATACCATATTTGAGGGATTTTATTTTCTTTGTCCAGCGCGGCGTTGTCCTGGGAGGCAGAGATGGAAAAAGATCCGACATCGAGCGGCCGAGAGAAGCCGCCGACAAGCTAGGATACATAGCTATAGCAGCTAAACAATTTAACGAGTAACGAACCTAACGCGCATTTGTTGGAGGTGAAGTTGACTCTATTGCATCGCCCATCGCTCATATTAGGAGGGTGTCTCGGTCGAGGTCTCGGAATATGGATGATCCCGCTCCGCATCGACCGGTCCGCATGGCATTCCCGTTGCGGACCTCCATTAACCCCGGGATCCGGGCACGGACTTATTCTTACCTCAGCGACGGGTCTGCCAGGCGTTCCTGCAAGTATCCAGGTGGGAAAGATGCTATATTGGAGGCAAGCCAGTTCAGGGAGTGGCCTGTGATATCATGGGAGGCGAGTGCGTAGGGTAGGTAAGGTACGGTGCGGTACGGTATCTTTGTGTCCGTGTAAGCCCAGAGACGCCTTTGATGGAATCTTTGTGTTGCTCTTCAACGGCAGATGTGCAGCCAAGCATTTCCAACATGGCTAGCAAACCCCAGAAGCTGGTGCAATACCCCGCTTTCCGTAGCTGCCACTGAAATTTCTGCAGATTGGCCGGGCTGCACATGGGCGAATGAACAGAGGCGGGAGGCAGCTCGAGAGGACGGGAAGCTCAAGTGCCATGTTCTCTTTGCCCATGGCTTTTGGGGTTTGGGGGTGGTCTAGACCTCGAGGTTTTGACAGGTTGCTCCCCTCATCTTTCTTACCTCATCTTGGATGCCTAAGCAGACCACCAGCCATTCCATAGGGCAGCAGGTTGCCAATACGTACGGATCCAGAAACATCACACTGCACCGCCACTTGTGGAAAAAGAGTGTTTGGCTAGGCAGGAAACCACCCGTGCTCCTGCCTGGCTACTGGACTTGTCGGGTTAAGTGGGGAGGCGGGCGGAACTAAGGTGCGAAAGGTGGTGAACCAGCGCTGGACCGCCACAGAGAGAAAGGACTGAGTTGTGGAAGGAGGTACCTCAGCCAACCAACTAGAACCGCCTGCCCGCCGCCTTCCCCCACTGCGCAGCAACCAAACACTAACTTCAGGTCACCACTCACCTTCGTCATCTCCATTAAATCTGTACCAGTCTTTCCCGCGCACAACAAAACACCAAGGTGACGGGTTTCTCATCTTTCACCTCCGGCTCCTGCGCATCGATCCCCAGCGCACCATCCTCCATCACGACTCACCTCATCCTTTTGTTTTTTTCCATCAACCGAGCACTCTCAGCTCTTCCCTTGTGATCGCAGCCTTTTGCTGCACCGAAGCTAGCCAAGATGAAGGTCACATTCAAGGTATGCCCAGCTCTGAGCCTCCTCCCCACCACCTGGGCATGAGGCCCCCCTCGCATTGCGCCTCACTTCAAGGTGCTGCCGACTTTGAGCTTCTGCTAATCATCCTCGCCGTTTTCCAGGACTTGAAGCAACAAAAGTTCACGCTCGATGTTGAGCCCACCGACCCTGTGCGTCCCCTCCCCCCACGTCCATCTCCGAGATGACCCTCGACGGCTACCTTTCGATGTCCGACCTCGAAACTGACGAAATAAAACAGATCTCTGTTGTCAAGCAGAAGATTGCTGGAGAGAAGGGATGGGACCCCAAGGACCAGAAGCTTATCTACTCTGGTAGGCTGCCCCGCCACCTGGAGGAATGCGATAGCTCCGGCTGACAGCTGCAATAGGCAAGATCCTAAAGGACGATGACACTGTAGAGTCCTACAAGATTGAGGAGAAGGGCTTCGTCGTCTGCATGGTCAACAAGGTCCGCACCCAAAAAAAAACAATACCCGCGCTTGCTCAAGTACCGTACTGACGAGCCAGCAGCCCAAGGCACCCAAGCCCGCCCCGGCCGCTGAGTCTTCCTCTGCGCCCGCCGTCCCCGCCACACCCGCTCAGCACGTCGCCGCCACGCCGGCTGCTCCTCCCGCTCCTGCTGCTCAGGCTGCAGCCCCGGTCGCGGCTCCCGCCACGCCTACCCCGGCCGCTAGAACTACCGGTGGTGATGCCGGCAACAACGACCCGTCGATGGCCATGGGTGCTCAGCGTCAAGAGGTGATTGCCAACATGGAGGCCATGGGCTTCGAGCGCGCTCAGATCGACGCCGCCATGCGTGCCGCCTATTACAACCCCGACAGAGCCGTCGAGTACCTGCTCAGCGTGAGACAAGATGGTTGGAGTAGTTGGTTCGCTGGACGCTGACAATGACCAGGGCATTCCCGACGACGTCCAGGAGGAGCAAGCACAGCGACAGGCCGCCGCTGCGGCGCCCGCTCAGCCCTCTGGTGGTGCGCCCGCTGGCGCCGACGGCAACGTAAACCTCTTCGACCTCGCCGCCCAGGCGCGTGGTGGTAGCGGTGGTGGTGGTAGTGGACGTGGCGCCTCCGCCGGCAACACTCAGGCCGCCGCCGCCGCCGCTGCCGCCGCCGCCGCTGCTCAGGGTGGCTTTGGCAACCTAGACTTCCTCAGAAATAATGCCCAGTTCCAGCAGCTCCGCCAGGTCGTTCAGCAACAGCCCCAGATGCTGGAGCCTATCCTCCAGCAGCTCGGTGCTGGCAACCCCCAGCTTGCTCAGCTGATCGCCAACAACCCCGACCAGTTCCTGCAGCTTCTTGGCGAGGAGGTTGACGACGACGTGCCCCTGCCCCCTGGTGCACAGGCTATCCAGGTCACTGAGGAGGAGCGTGATGCCATTGAGCGGGTAGGTTTCTTGTGACACTCTCCTCGGCGTGACGATGCTGACAGTCAGCCAGTTATGCCGCCTGGGCTTCGACCGCGACGCTGCCATTCAGGCCTACTTTGCCTGCGACAAGAACGAGGAGCTCGCGGCGAACTTCCTCTTCGATCAACCCGATGACGACGATGCCCCCCAGAACTAAGCCGACTCGCAACGACCGCATGACGACACAATCTACGACAGAAACGCAGGGCTCAGGAATTATCAGACGGTGTTGGCTTGACGGCATTAACGTGAGGAGAAGACTTTAGGATACCTAGTCCAGAAGACAGGATCCTCATCAGCAGGGGCATGAAGCCGCAGTCCTCGTGATTCGTGAGGTAGATTATCCCTTTTTCCGTAGAGCTGGCGTGGAGGCAAGCAGGCTGAGGAAAATATGCGGGAAATGACTTGGACGCATACGGAGGTCGCAAGCTACTCGCGGTTGCAAATGCTCATGCTTGTGTTTGACCAGGAATGTTCCTGTTCTGGCTGGGAAGAGAGCGTGGCGTCAGTCCTAGGTAGCTAGGCCAGGTAGTACCGGGTAATTCAACTCTTTAGTGCCACTACACGTCAATCTGTAAGCCTTCTGGAGACCCTGCCTATGCGACTGAAGAGGCCACTTCAGTTTGGCCTGAGGGGTTTGGTCTCGAGAGTCGTTACAACGCCAGCCTGGCCTTTGGCCTCACGACAGATGGTACTATAAAGGAACCACCATGGGTTGCCTTTTTGGCTTCGATTCTCTTTCTTTCTGTATACTCACCCACCTGGCGACTCTGAGGATCAAGGGTACCGGGTCGTGGAGGTGGGACCTACAATGTACTCTACTGCGGCCGTGCCCCTTCCTTTGCGGAAATCGTACCGTACATACTTTTTGGTTTTTTTTTTCTTCTCCTTTTGAAACGTTATGTTTTTTCTTTTCCCTGTGTCCGGCGCCTTGAGCGGTGGCATGAGGAACAGGGTGTGTGTTGGTGTTTGTCATCCATATACACCACAGGGAGAAGGGCCCTGCGTTGATGGGGTTGGGTCAGGGTGTCGCAAGGGGAGACGTTCCTGGAGACGCTCTGGACGGCATAAATATAAGCGCTCGTTACTTTCTCGTAACCTTTACAATTGATTGGATTCTCTCTGTACCTCTAAAAGGCGTTCCTGGTCCCTACCCTTGTGTTTGCCTTGATTCCCGAGACCCCTTTGCTACAAAAAAAAAACCCCTCGAAATACCAAACGCCGCCTGCTGCCCAAAATAGGAGGGCCCCCTGGTGAAATAGCAAAGGGGTATCTGTCTGGTTGGAAGCCACCCTCTCCACTGCCATGAACCTTGGCCTCTTCCGTGTATGGTATATCCCCAAACCCTTCCCACCCCGTTTGTGTGCGTGTTTGCAAGAAGCGTGATGCGTGCCATCAGTGGATAATCTCACCCCGCATGTTGTACTCTACGGCCTTCTTCTTCGTCTTGCCCGCGCCCCTCTTCTTCCGTCCCGCGTCGGGATCCATGTTCGTCTCGTCAATAGTGATCATACCGTCGGCGTCAACCGTGATTTGAGGACCGACGCTGGCTTGCTGCCTCTTGGGCTTGGCGCCGCCGCTACCGCCGCCGCCGGTCGTAGAAGACTCGACTCCAGCGTCTGCTCCACCCTCCCGCTTGTCCTGCAGCGAAGCGAGGTTCCTGGCATTGATGGCGTCCTTGGCCGCCTTGATCTTGGCCTGCTCGGCGTCAAACTCGGCCTGCTGCGCGCGTTGCGCCGCCATGATGGCCTCGACGGGCTCGTACTCGGCCTTGGTCCACGTCTTGTACTCCTCCAGGTCGATCTGCAGCTCCTTCTTCCCGACGAGGATGGCGTCGATGCGCGCGGGGGCATGGCGCTCCTCGCGATTGAACTTCATCTTGACGTGTCGCCGGTTCTTGCCGGGAAACATGCCGCTGATCATCTGGAAGTCGGTCCCAAACATGCGCAGCCCCCGGTAAAAGAGCTCCGTCTCCTCTTCGTTCCAGACGTTGGGGCCCTTGAGCTTCGAACCCGTGCGGTAGCTGTTCTGCGTCGTCAGCGTCGTGAAGTCGTTTTCTTCAATCTCGAGCATGTCTTCGCCCTCGGCGGCGGCGGCGGCAATGGCGTGGCGGTCGAGGCTGAGGGAGGTTTGGTCCACCACAATCTGGCCGTCAATGATTTGGAATTGCGGCCCCGTCGAGGCCATACTGGCCGGTTTCGGCGGCGGGGGGGCTGCCGGCGTGGCCTGGCCGCTCGTCGGTGCCGGGGTCCCGCTCTCCGAGGCGACGTCCTCCGAGCCGTTCCTCTTCGCCTTGAGTCTTTCCCTGGACTTTGCTTGCTTGTCGCGATGACGCTGGAGCAGCTCGTCGTGTCGGCTAAACTTCTTGCCGATGCGCAGGTCTCGTGTCAAATCGCCCATTGTGAGTGTGGTGAGGTCGGCCTCTTGTTCCTCCGCATCTTCGGGGGTTACCGAGCGTGCTTGTCGAGGTCGTACCGGCTTGTTGGTGGCAGCAGCAGCGTCTGTCTCCCCTTCTTCTGTAGCCTTTTTCTTTCTCGGCCGAGGCGGCCGTTTCGGCGCGGCTTCTCCGTCTGTAGGCTGTTTTCGTTGCCTCTTGGGCTTGGGAACTGGAGCGCCATCTTCGCCCTCTTCAGTAGCCTCGCTCGTCTGGGTTGCTCGTTTTCGAGGTCGCTTGGGTGGTGCCTTCTTCGTGGCAGTCTTCGCTGTGTCGTCCGTTGAAGCCGCTGGCAGGCCAGCACTTTCTGTTGAGGGCACTACGTCGATTGCAGAGGGAACAGGAGCAGGCGGGGTCTGGAGCTGCGCTGGCGTCGACGCTTCGTTGACGACACTGGCCCGGTCTCTAGTAGGAGCGGGTGTTGCGGATGGCGGTTGTGGACGACTGTGAGTTGAGGTAGCCGGCGTCTCTGTTACCTTGCTCTTGCCAGCCGCCTCCAGTGCTGGAGCAGGCTTCGCAGAGGGCTCATTCGTCGTGGATTGTGTCTGAGGCGTGGCAGCCTGCGCCGTTCTCGGCTCGGTCGATGGCGGGGTACTTGTAGACCCGTTTCCGGGCGTATCTCTCGTATCGGCTCGTTTCTCGGCGGTAGATGACGCTGTAGTATCGGCAGATTCGTTTGAACTCTCTGCTGGGGTTGCAATCGCGGCGGCAGTCGTGGATGGTGCCCTTGCTGGCTGCGGTGCGGCTGCTCCAGGTGCTCGAGGACGGGCCGTTGGCATTTTTGGCTTGAAAGCCATGCCGGCTTTTTTCTTGAACATGGAACTCATTGTGGCGGTAGTATCTGGTCTCTCCTTTCTATCGGCGTGGTAGGAAACTCATGGCCGGGGAGCTGAGGTCGGCTGAAAATTGGATCTGGCGGAAATGGATTGTCACTTGGGAGCCAGACTTTTGTCAATCGCGGCGGGACAGTACCTGCGGGATGCAGAAAAAGTGCTTCTGATAAGTAGATGCGGAACCCCGACAATTAACCGGTACGTGCGCTTTGCGCGGGGCGCCTGACTGGGTGGATGGCCAGAACGGCGCTAGTCCCGTTTGGGGAGTGGACCGGCTGGCTTGATTTGAACGTGAAGCGTCGGCGTTCAACCTCGAAAATTCAACCTCCTTTGCCCAAGTATTCGTCACCCATTTTTCGCGCCGAATCAGAACAGCACGACTCCTTCTACACTCGCATGGCTCGGATCAATCTCTAAACACCCCCAGCTGTCCCACGCAGCGCATTTTATCGCCTCGCCGACCCGGACGCCTACACCGTCTCTGCATCTCTACCTTTCTCATGCCTGTAGCGACCTCAGCCCCGACTGCCTCTCCGCGTCCGTCCACCTTATCCAAGATGGAGGACAGGAAGAGACCTCCCATCAGCACCGCCGAGGACCTCGCTCCTCCAAGCAAGCGACACCAAACCGTCAATGGAAGCAAGTCCAAGGGCGATAGTGGCGACCACGCCGAGGAGCACTGGATCGAGGTAAGTGTCACGAGACACGTTTTCCCAACACATCAAGTTTTCTCAACAATTCAATGGACCCCTACGCGATTCCCTTCTGCCATCCATGGCGACGCGACATCACGATCATCGACTGCCCCTAGCCACGCTCAACACTGGCGGACTGCGATCGACTGGCCTGGAATGGCCTTTCGATCCGCCGTCGAGGGCGACGAGGCTGCCTGACGGCTATCCGTCTCCCTGCCCTCCACGCATTCGAGATTACACTTTAACGATCGCCTGGTGCGAATAAATACATGGAGAGGGCGCGAGCTGATGATGAGTTCAGAATTACCAAAAGGGAGCCATTTATCGGCAACTTCAAGAAACAAAAAGGGAAAAGGCAGAGTTTGAGTCGCGTGTCGAGCAACTGCAGAAAAATGTCGTATACCGCGAGGATCATATTCGCATCATTGAAGCATGGTGGAAGCAGGTCAGCAGTGTGATTGATCCCTTGACTCCGTGGCATGGCTGACCTCCCCTTTAGGTTCTAGAAGAGATGGAGCAGCTCGTGGATCCTGCGACACCACCCTCAGGCCCAACAAGTGAGTACCCCTTGTCACATATAGCTCGACATGAGACTGATCGGATCCAGATCCTCCGTACATTACCAGCACGCACTTTAAAGATAACGACGAGTTTCAAAGGCACCTTGACGAGACAGCCTCTGACATTAAGAAGCGAGCCGAAGCTGTGCTCAATCGCATCGCAAACGCCAGGGGCGAGATCACGCCAAACATTGCCGACCTAGAGACTCGGGTCAACACCCTGCTCGCGCAGCAAAAGGACTATCTGGTCAAGTTGGACCGTGCACAGCAAGAGAATGAGCAGCTGTCGGAAGACTTGAACAAGGCTAGCCTTCGGTTTTTCAAGGCCGAAAAGCGCATGGACAGATTAAAGAGCGCGCAGGTACAGAAGCTCGAGCAGCAATTCATCGCCAGCGCCAAGCCAACAATCGCCGCGGGGGAGAATGGGCAGGATGCCGCCGAGGCAAATGGCAACGCTGCCGAGGCGCTCATCAAGTTTGAGGAAGCATCGGCGGTCGTAACTAAGCAGAAGGAGCAGTTGGAATCCGCGCAAGCTGACATCAAGACTCTCCAGGAGGAGAACTCGGCGCTAAAGGCACGACGGGAAGGCCTCACAGACGAAGATTTCATTCGGACGGACGTTTTTAAACAGTTCAAGAACCAGAACGAGGACTTGATCAAGCGGGTCAACCACCTCGAGGCTACGAACAAGCAGCTACGAGAAGAGGCTGAAAGACTGCAATCCGAGCGAACGGCATTCCGAACCAAGCTGAACGACGAGGCGCAGTCGATTACTTCGGACCTGGAGCGCCAAGTCGAGGAGCGCGATGCCGACCTGACACGAATCCGCGCTGCCCGGGACGAGTGGTACGCCAAAGCCAACATGCTGGAAACCAGAGAAAAGGAAGAGAAGCAGGCGCTGCAGCACCTCAAGGAGCTCACGGGTGCCCAGGAGGACCGAATCGCCTCCTTGGAACTGGAACTGCAGCGCCTGAAGCCCTCTGAAGACCAGCCGATGGCGGACCCCGACCCCGAACTGGAGAACATGCCCGCGGACGAGCTGATTTCAAAGTACAAGAAGCTTCAGCAGGATTTCGAGTCGATCAACAAGGAGTTGCCCGCTCTCCAGCAGGCGTACAAGCGGTCGATGGGCCTCGCACAGAAGAAGGTGATGGAGTACACGGTTCTCGAGGATCGCGCAGCGGCGGCACTCGCGGAGAAGCAAAAGGTGGACCAAAAGTACTTTGCGGTGAAGAAGGATGCGGATATGAGAGACCGCGAGCTGGGCGTGCTCCGAAGCCAGAACCGGAAGAGCTCCGAGATCGTCGCGCAGCTCAAGGAGGTGGAGGCGCAAAACCGGATCCTGATTAGCAACCTGGAGAAGCAGCTTTCGGATCTGAAGCAGGCGAACGCGGCCATGGCCGCAGAGCACAAGAAGATGGAGTCGAGCAGCTCCGACGCAGCGCGCCGGGTCGACTCCTACAAGAACCAGATTGGCGAGTTGACGAGCTTGGTCAAGTCGCGCGACGCAGCCGTTGCCGCGGCGAGAGAGCGCACCACAACCCAGGAGGCGGACGTTGAGCGCCTCAAGGTCCGCGCAGACATGATGCAAAAGGAGAAGGACGAATGGAAACGCAAGGCGTTGAGCAACTCGTCGGAAGAAGAGGAAATGCTCAGAGTATGTGGCATGGGTCCCCTCATTGTGGATGAAAAATACTAACAGCCCCTAGACCTTTGCACTCTGCACAGTGTGCCGCAACAACTTCAAAGATACGGCCTTGAAGACTTGCGGGCATCTATTCTGTCACCAGTGCGTAGACGACCGGATCAGCAACCGGATGCGCAAGTGCCCCAACTGCTCGAGGGCGTTTGACCGGCTGGACGTCATGTCCGTTCACCACTAGCTTTGCTTCGCCCAATACCCGACTCGGCTCACGTGTCGGCCACTGTTTTGATATGCTTCAAAGACGTTTGCGCAGCTTGGAGTTTGCTTCCGTGGCAGGGGATTTCATGGTATGATACCTTTGGGGATTGCCCATAAGACGCTCGCGATTGGAAATGATGGATCGTTGTACTTTTACGTGTATGGAAGACGGCCTGGACCTCGAAAAAAAAAATGTACATAAAGTCATGTCCCTAACCAAGGGGGCTAATCACACACTAGCTGTAGGAGGCCGGCGAGAGGATGATGTACGAGACCCGTGGAGAACAGGATAGACTTAGAGTCGAGCTGGCTCACATGACGTTCAAATTACTCTATGCCTACTTCAAGACCCCTCTGCTATCTCCTGTTGGTAGATCCGAACCCGGTGCTTTCGTGACGCGCCGAGCTCGACGAGGAGCTGGTTGACCTTGAAGGGCCGCCTCCCCAAGAATTGCTTGTGGTGTCGCCGCCCCATCCCGTTCCGTAATTTTGTTGGTTCCGCGCGCTGTTCCTGCCCTGGTAGTAACCCGCTCCGTAACCTGCGGCAGCGCCAGCACCCGTGCCAGTCCAGAACCCAGGGCGCCATGGTTGCTGGCCGCTCGAGCCGGAAGGCTTGGTGCCTGGGTACGGCGGGGGAGGGTCGTCATCGTGACCGAAGCCAGGATTCCAACCGCCTCCGCCGCCGCCACCACCTCCGGGCCCGCCGCCGCCGCCGCCGCCTCCTCCACGGCGGCGACCGGCGCCACCAGTCCTTCGGTTCTCAGCACCAGCCACGCACGCCGAGTAGATGATCCAAGCCAGAACGGCGAGGAAGATGAAGCCGAAAAGATAGGCTCCCCAGTCTGTCTCACCACCGCCGCCGCGGCCCTTGCCCAGGTTCGGGTACCGCCGCTCGCCCTTGTCCGTCAGGGCGAGACGATACTCCACGCCGCAGCTGCCGCGCAGGACGTACGGGTCGTCGGCGTTGGCGTACCCTTCGCAGAGGACGTCCGTCGAGCCGAGCTTCAGCTCCTCGGGTAAGGAGGCAACGCAGGACCACTGGATGTCTTCGGGCGAGTAGCCGGCGCCGTTGTTGGTGCAGCGCATGACGTCGATGTCAAAGAGGTCGCAGATGGGCCTTGAGGAGATGCATTTCAGCTGGGGCGCGGCGGGGACGCGGTGGTGCGTCGTCTTTGCGCCGGCGCCGCGGAGGGTGAGGGATTGGACTTCTGAGAGGAGGATGGCGTTTTTGGGGGTTTTGGCGGCTGAGGCTGGGGTTGGGAGGAGGGCGAGGAGGCCCGTGAGGGCCAGGGAGGGAGAGAGTCGCATTGTGCCGTTGTGTTGCGTACTTGCTGATACTCGTATCAATGTTTGTTTGCGATGTGACGTCGCTTTGGGGGGTGAGTCTCCCGCGTGGCGGGGTTGCCTGGCGTGTCGCGGTGGGAGTCAGAGCTATCTCGGCCAGACGGCGGTCTTGGGGGTGATGAGAAGTATACTGTCATATGCCGAAGCGAAGATTGATTTTTGTATCAGAAACCATGTTTTTCAAAAGGACAGATTGAAGGCTCAAGCCAATATCACAGAGTGACAAACGACGGATGATGGTGATGCGGGATTGGCTCCCGCTCGCACGAAGGTGGCGTAGCAGTGGCGAGTGATCACACGAGCCACCTATGCTTCTGTGGCGTTCCCACAGACGTCTACTTATGTAAGCATGGGCTCCATGCGCCAGGTGCTGTCCGAGCTTCCAGCTCCCATGTCAAAAAGAAGAACGCTTGGCAGGCATTGTTGTGCATCGCCAAGATGGGGGTACTTTTCTCTTTGGAGGCACGGTGCAGAATCGTGTCGGCGGGAGTGCCCTGCCCGCCGAAAGCCAATCTTCTCTCGCGCAGCATTTGTCTTGGACTTTCAGGCTTTGCATCCTGGCGACTAACGAATCTCCGACGAGGGAAGTTAATCTCATTTGCAGTGTCACTGCCATCGTGATAGGCTGGGCAGGAATATAACGTACAAGGAATGACCCCACATGCTTCTGTTTCTTCACTGCGTGCATGGGGCTCAAGTTGGGAGGAGGATGGATGTAATTTGCAAGGATGCTTTCCATTCCACGAGCGAGTTGGAAAGACTCGATTCCATCCGTACAAGGTTAGGCAGTACTGCACGAGACGCATCATTCCAATATAGCATAGATGCCACGGAGACATATACGCGTGAGTCAATCGCGCCGCCCGCGATGATCCCCACCGGTGGGCCCCTCAGTGAAACGACCAGGCATGGGTACAGTCTCGCGTTCGGCTCGGTTTCGGGTCACAAGCGGTTCAACTCGTCTTTTTGGTGCGGTTCCCACCAACACGCGCGTTGTCTTGCCGTCAAACGACAACGATCGTCTGCCGGCGGTGGAAGGCGTCAGCGGATTTTGAGGAACAAGAAATCTGCCGGCATTTGATTGTGAGCAGGGAAGCTTTGGTCAAAAAGATCAGATAATGCAGGTCGGACTATTAGCACTGCCCGTTATCTTTTTTTTCCCCTTTCTCCCCTCCCGTGGGGAGGGGCCGTGCTCTGAACCATCTTGCCTCGTTGGGCCTCAGCAGAGCTTTTCTTTGGCTCGAACTTGAGGTTTGTGACACGAGCATTCGACGCGTGGTTCTGCTCTACAACTGTTCAATGCTTTTTTGCTACCCTTGATTTTCAATAATGTCCTTATAATAATACCAAGAGGATCGAGTGAGACAAGAGTTTGATTCATGGCTATAGAAGAACTGCTAAGAGACATCTCAGTCCTCTGTAACAAACTTCGTGCGGGACCTGGAACTCTAACCGCCGGCACCATCAGCACCAGACTCTGGGAGCTGCCACAAATGCTGGCCCGGGGTTTCCACGTCACCTTCCGAGCTTCGGACGCCGCAGGTTCACCTCTGGGCCCATCACTTGAAAAATCGGCCGCCTGGGAACACACACCGGATGAATCACCTTGCACTTGTCCTGACATTGGCATCTACCAGGGCGACCCTTGAAAACTCTGGCTTACCAAATTCAAGCATGGCAAGGCTGCTGAACCTGCCAGGGCGACCATTTGCAATGTGTCATCGGATTCTGTCCAGCATGCAGCAGGCGTGTCTTGCTCTGCTCCAGAAGATTCACGAAGCAGTCGCCCCCTTACAGAAAGGATCTATCGAGTATGAAAGGCTGGCGGCAACTTGGTATGGGGATCGAGAGCTCCGCTGGGAGAGTACTGGAATCTGCCCATCAGCATTCGCAGCAACCGCCTTCGAATCTTGACGTACCCGCAGGAGCGGGACCTGCAACATCGCGCAAGGCGCTGCTCCCGCTGGTTATGGACTGTGTACTTTATCCTCGCTCACCCATTTCCCAATGGCAACGGCCGCACCAGTCGCATGGTGAAGCAGGATCAGAGGGCTACGTTGCAGTCGTCATCCAGGATTTGAAGCAGCAAGACTATCTGAGGATGATTGACGGCGCCAGCAAAGGCACACCGGAGGGGTTCGTCACGGCGGTGCTGCACCAGGCTAACACGCGCCTCAAGATGTAAGCCCGTTGCAGAGCACAAGCCCGGTCACAATAGGGCTCGGAGAATTTGGCGGTGTCTTGTGGCGTCCCGGGAGACTGACGATTGCTGACCGCTGAGGGATGTGAAACAGGCGATGGCTCGCATCTGCAAAGAGAATGCGAGCAGATACGACTTCGGTGGTAGATCGGGGGACGGCGCTAAATTGGCCACCGTACGGGAGGGTGTACTCGCGTTATGCATGTGGTACAGTTTATCGTGAGGTTCCTATCGCCGATACATTAGCTACCACGGCGACGTATGCTCCGTGATCCGACACATGGGGTCGGAAAGACTCAGCTAGCATAGCAGCCTCTGTGCTGGTAGGAGACCTTGATTACCGACAGCACCTAGACTTCGTCCAAGGCCCAACCCTGTTGCAGAGAGCGTGAGAGGCCTCAAAGTCTGAAATTCAGCAGCTCGTGTAAGCCAACAGCTGCTTGGAACGACCTGTTTAATGGCTGGCCGCGGCAGCACACCGCTTCTGGGAACTAGGGAACTTTTGCCCAGTCCAGATCGTCCCGTCCACAAGACTGGAGAGGACTCATTGGCTGGAGCATGTTCCTGGCAGCCTTCACGAATCGCAGTCTGAACTCTGTACCTTTTAGATGGTAAGCACTTGCATTTCGTATCTCGTTTCCGACGACGATAAGTCGATAGCGGAGTATTGAGGCGTCGTAATCGTCCAGCCGCCGGAACGGCTACCCGCACCAAGAATACAACGTCGTCGTTTACAGTTTACCCGCTGCGCCCTATATCAAATCGCTCGCACAGGACCGGAGCCCGAGAGGACGTTATCGCCGACGCCTCAAGACTGGTCCGGACATAGGTGGGATAGGGTCTCGGCCGGTAATGCATTGTCAGACTGCCAGACACGATGTCAAGAGAATTGCCATCAAGCTGGTGTAGCAGTGGGTTGTGAGTTGGGCGTGGCGGGGTATACTCCTTGCGTACAAACACCCCCTCCAAGCTGAAAGAGAGGCCGCAATGGACAGGTAATGTTCTGGAAGCTGAGGTGTACCGTTCTGGGACCTGGGCAGGAAATGAACTGGATCGGAATTCGGACTGCTGAAGAAACCCGAGGGAGGGGCAATCCGCAAAATAGTATTGCTGGCGGGGGAGCGTAGGCTGTTAAGCGAGGCGCTGGGTTGGGTCTATCACGCCGGCTGACTCGACCGGGGGCGGCAGCGAGACACGGGCCTGACTTGGACTACGGTGAGACAGAACGGGTTAAGACGGGTACGGGTACACTGTCGCAGATGCCTTGCCTGCTTGCCAGTGGCTGCCTGCCTATTGTGTTGGCCGGTGGGTGTTCCGAACATGACGCGCAGGTTGCAAGCCCAAAGCACGGCTTCTCCGAGACTCTGTTCTTTCTGGATTGCTGGACCGGCGTGCTGGGTTTGTTGTCGAAGATACAGACGAAACACACTCGAGTGCTGATTGGAAGCGTTGGGGCCGGTGAAGGCTGAGTTTTGACATTTGCCCAAGAGACGCAGCCCTCGAGGCGTATCGGGGACGTGGATTGAAGCGAGATTCGAGGGATCAATCGCAATCACTCGAGTCTGGAAATCTCTGTGGTTGCGAGAGACAGGAGGAGAAGGTCCACAAAACGGTAGCGTCGATTCCATTGACGACGCAGTGCTTGCCTTATTCTGCGAATGACTAAGGTGCATGCATGTACATGGTACCTTGTACTTGCCTCCCGCCTCCAAAGCTGTTTCCCCAGAATATCTCTCGCTTGGCCGCCTGGGCTAAATAATACCAAGACAGGAAATAAGGAGCCGAGAAGGAGAAGGAGACAGCTGACAACGTGGCTCAACAGGCCGCAGCCCGCTGAATCCCGGTCCCTTTGGCTCTTGAACCCCGGGCACCTCATGTGCAGCGTTTACTGCGGTATCACAACCTTGGCTGCAATCATCAGTGCGTCGTTGTTTGCAGTCATCGGTCCCGCACCTCGCACCTCGCACTCGATGCCCTGCGAGCCCAGCAAGATCGATTAAGCCAATACGAGTATACGTGTACATGCCATGCTATTGTGCAGAGTAAGAAAGCACTACAGACATGATCGTTCCCGGATGACTGGCGCCGGTGTCGATATCGGCGTGTCTGACAGGCAGGTGATGGCTCGAAACAAGAGCACCTTTTCATACCAAACGTGCCAAAGTCCCTCCTGTTCATATCTCTCATCTGATGATGGCAAGTGAATCGACACGAGATGGACAATAGACACGCAGGTAGGCGGCGCGGTTCGGGCACGGTGGAGGTACACAGGAACCGAGCTAGTCACAGTTCGGGAAGTTGACAAGAGCGAGGTCAGAACGGGTCGGTTGCATTCCGTCGAATCTCGTCCCCATTTCTTTCTCCTGATAGTCGTCTCTCTCTCTCTTTCTCTCTGTCTCTCTGTCTCTCATGTCCTTTGGCCCCCGGTCCCACCCCAGGTCCAGGTCGCTAGCCTCTACCTTAACTCCGGAGACCCATCCATCTATATCAAAAGTGCACACCCCGGTGCGTCTCTCACCAAGCTCCTGGGGACTCCTTTATTCTACACCTTTGCGACGGAGTCCACTAATCCCTACCCTGGCCCGCAACCCGAGTGGGAACGCCTCTTTTCTCTATCCCTCCTCGCCTCTTTTTTTTATTAATTGTCGAGGGAAACACGCCAATCGACTGCAGCTGTTGTTTTCCTGCCCTTTGCCTGCCCCGATTCATCGTTGCGCGCGACAACGACGGTTCCTCGCCCCAACTTCTTTCTTGGCTTTCGCTATTGTCGATTTTCTTCTTTTCTTTCACTGCCTGCCTGTATACACATAGGGTTGTAATTTGAGGAAACTATTTGGATTTCGTCGTCGGATCAACCCTTGCGATAGGTTGCTGCCAGTGCTAAGCTCGGCATACACACACCACACCGGCAACGACATCCCGCACCCTCTCACGCACAGGAACCGCATCCCGACCAGTTTGCGCGCGGCGCATTCCGGCGCAACAAGCTTCTCACACATACAGCGCACAGCTCTGCCAGGAGCTACGCCGGCAACATGTCTCTCGAAAACGAGAAGCCCGTCAGGGCCAGCGAGAAGTCGACAGAGGTGGCTGAGAAGCCGGCCAGTCATGGCCACTCTGACAGGGCATCGTCCCATGGCGACTCGACAGAGGTGGACGCACCCAATCAACCAAAGAACCAGACGACGAGTATCAACAAACTCGAAAAGGCCGACTCCAAGGCCATCGCACCAAAGGACCCCAGCGACGACCCCTACGAGCACCTCCCCGCTGATGAGGCCGCGATTCTCAAGCGCCAGGTCTTCACTCCCGAAGTCAAGGCGGGCATCTTGACCCTGTACCGGTATTCTTCGACCAACGACCTGCTCATCCTCGCCCTCTCTGCCTTTACGTCCATCGTGGTCGGCGCCGCCCTGCCGCTCATGACCGTCATCTTTGGTAACCTGCAGGGCACTTTCCAAAACTACTTTGCTGGGCAGACATCCTATAAGGCCTTCACCGACGAATTGGCGAGCCTCGTCTTGTACTTTGTCTACCTCGCCATCGGCGTCTTTGTGTGCCAGTACATCACCACTGTGGGATTCATCTGTAAGTTTGCGCCCCGGCGGGACGACGCGAGTCTAAATCTGACCCAACACCAAAATAGACACGGGAGAGCACATTAGCGCAAAGATTCGCGAGCACTACCTCCAGAGCTGCATGCGCCAGAACATTGGTTTCTTCGACAAGCTGGGCGCCGGCGAGGTGACGACGCGCATCACCGCCGACACCAACCTGATCCAGGACGGCATCTCTGAAAAGGTAGGCCTGACGCTCGCCGCCGTCGCCACCTTCATCTCGGCCTTTGTCATTGGTTTCATCCACTACTGGAAGCTCACTCTGATCCTGTTGTCTACCGTCGTCGCCCTTCTCCTGAGCATGGGAGGCGGCTCTACCTTTATCGTCAAGTACAGCAAGCAGTCCATTGAGTCGTACGCCCACGGAGGCAGTCTCGCCGACGAGGTCATCAGCTCCATCCGCAACGCCGTCGCCTTTGGCACCCAGGACCGCCTGGCCAAGCAGTACGACGCGCACCTGGCAAAGGCCGAATTCTTTGGCTACAAGGTCAAGTCTGCCATTGGCGTCATGGTTGCGCTGATGATGACCATTCTGTACCTCAACTACGGTCTCGCGTTCTGGCAGGGGAGCAAGTTCCTCATCGACGACGGTATCAAGCTGTCCAACATTCTCATCATCATGATGTCCATCATGATCGGTGCCTTCAACCTCGGAAACGTCGCACCCAACGTGCAGGCCTTCACCACCGCCATCGCGGCGGCCGCCAAGATCTACAACACCATTGACCGCGTTTCTCCCCTGGATCCCTCCAGCGATGATGGAACCAAGCTCGAGCATGTCGAGGGCACGATCCGCCTCGAAAACATCAAGCACATTTACCCGTCTCGCCCAGAGGTCACGGTCATGGAGGACGTGAGCCTGACCATTCCTGCCGGTAAGACCACAGCGTTGGTCGGTGCCTCGGGCTCCGGCAAGAGCACAATCGTCGGTCTCGTTGAGCGGTTCTACGACCCCGTCCGCGGATCAGTGTACTTGGATGGCCACGACATCAGCACCTTGAACCTGCGTTGGCTGCGGCAGCAAATGGCCCTGGTCAGCCAGGAGCCCACTCTGTTCGCGACCACCATCTACCAGAACATCCGATACGGCCTCCTTGGTACCCAGCACGAGAATGCGTCCGAGGAAGAGCAGAAGAAGCTTATCGAGGAGGCGGCGAGAATGGCAAACGCCCACGACTTCATCAGCGGTCTTCCCGAAGGCTACCTCACCAACGTCGGCGAGCGCGGTTTCCTCCTCTCCGGCGGCCAAAAGCAGCGCATCGCCATTGCGCGCGCGGTCGTGTCCAACCCCAAGAGTACGTTATCCCTTGCGACCCCTCACCGAGCTCTTTACTGACCCTCACAGTTCTGCTCCTCGATGAGGCCACCTCTGCCCTCGACACCAAGTCGGAGGGTGTTGTGCAAGCCGCCCTCGAAGTCGCCTCCCAGGGCCGAACCACCATCACCATTGCCCACCGTCTGTCCACCATCAAGGATGCCCACAACATCATCGTCATGTCCAACGGCCGCATCGTCGAACAGGGTACCCACAACGACCTTCTCGCCAAGCACGGCGCCTACTACAATCTCGTCACGGCCCAGAACATTGCCAGAGTCAACGAGATGGACGCCCAGGAGGAGGAAGCCATCGACGCCGAAGACGACGAGATCATCCGCAAGGCCTCCCGCGCCTCGGACAAGGGCTACGTCGCCGACCCGGAAGACGACACAGCCGCCAAGCTGCAGCGAACAAGCACCTCCAAGTCTCTGTCCAGCGTCGCTCTCCAGAACAGAGGGGACGATGGTGAGGTGAAGTACGGCCTGTGGACCCTCATCAAGCTCATCGCCTCGTTCAACCAAAAGGAATGGAAGCTCATGCTCATTGGTCTCTTCTTCTCCATCATCTGCGGTGGTGGCAACCCTACCCAGGCCGTCTTCTTCGCCAAGCAGATCATGACCCTGTCGGTCCCCATCACCCCACAGACTACCCAGGCGACCCTCCACCAAATGAAGAAGGATTCCGACTTCTGGAGCGCCATGTACCTGATGCTCGCTGGTGTCCAGTTCATCGCCTTTGTCATCCAGGGAATCGTCTTTGCCAAGTGCTCCGAGCGCCTCATCCACCGTGTCCGCGACCAGGCCTTCCGCACCATGCTGCGGCAGGACGTTGCCTTTTTCGATAAGGACTCCAACACGGCCGGCGCGCTCACCTCGTTCCTTTCCACCGAGACCACCCACTTGGCCGGGCTTAGCGGTGTCACTCTAGGCACCCTGCTCATGGTCTCGACGACCTTGATTGCCGCCCTGGCGCTCGCCATCGCCATCGGCTGGAAGCTCGCCCTCGTCTGCACTGCCACCATTCCCATCCTCATTGGCTGCGGTTTCTTCCGTTTCTGGATGCTCGCGCATTTCCAGCGCCGCTCCAAGACTGCGTACTCCAACTCTGCGAGCTACGCATCCGAGGCCATCTCGGCGATCCGCACCGTTGCCTCGCTCACGCGTGAGGACGACGTCATCCGCCAGTACCAGACCTCTCTGGCCATCCAACAGCGCGCCAGTCTCATCTCGATCCTCAAGTCCAGCTTGTTGTTCGCCGCGTCGCAGTCCTTTATGTTCTTGGCCTTTGCTCTCGGTTTCTGGTACGGTGGCACGCTCATCGCCAAGAAGGAGTACGACATGTTCCAGTTCTTTGTCTGCTTCTCTGCCGTCATCTTTGGTGCCCAGTCAGCCGGATCCATCTTCTCGTTCGCCCCCGACATGGGCAAGGCTCACCAGGCCGCCAACGAGCTCAAGATCCTCTTCGACCGTAAGCCGACCATCGACACCTGGTCCAAGGAGGGCGCTTCGCTCGATGCTGTCGACGGCACCTTGGAATTCCGCGAT